TTGTCTAATACATATATTTTCTTTGTCAACTGCCCTCATTATGATTATATAATTATTAAGATTTGTAAACATAATAAGTTTCTATAATTGGCGTCAATGTTGCATACTTATTTTTGTATAGAAATAACTAAACTGCTGTTGAAACTTTGTTGAATAAATAAATAAATAAATAAATAAATAACAATAACCATGGAAATTTATTAAATCGCTCTGTAACTGTAGTATCATTTGTGCATTTTATTGGATGTAGAATCTTTATATCTCATGAAAACAAATATGACTTTAAATGCAATTATTTCTATTAAATCCAATATATGTATTTTTAAAGAAAAACAAATGTAAATAACTATTATAACATACATATCTTATTGGATCGTAACAATAATTTAATTCAATTGGTATTTGAATATAGGTACCTAAATGAAGCAAATATTAAATTTAAAAAGTAGTGAAGTAAACAGTTTTTAAAAGCATTAAACATGAATATACATCATTGCACTGGTGAGATATGTACTGCATATGCCCGGATTAAACAAGTGTGGACCTAGTGTGTAACCTTGTGATACATAAAGCCCTACGTGATAACGCACGATTAAATATTACGTATACAAATAAATATCTCGACACAGATTTCTGTACCTACGTGTAACAAGAAAAAATACAAATGCCGTTTAAAGTATACAATGAATAATTAATTTATGAAAGATAACAATAGATTTCGGCACAAGTTATTTGATACGAATAATGTTACATTGAACTCAGACGTAAGGTCAACAGTTTACAAGTTAACGAGCAAACATTCGATATTTGTTGAAAGGAGGTCGACATCGAGTGATCAGAATTAAATAGCCTATTTAAATATAGCATGAGGAAAGTCAATGAGCTACATTGGCGGGCAGAGTTCATATTGTAAAATGCCTTACTTAAATCGAATCGAATATTAAAAAACTGTCGATTGACAATTAAGAGAAATAACAGTATGTTTTTTTTTACACTAATACTACAACTACTTATGTCTTATTTTAAATATAATAAATTAATATTAACAAATATAGTAATATATAAAAATCATTAAAACATGAAAACTCTGCATTTTTTCAGAAACAGACTTAATAAAATAAAAATTGTTACTAATTGAAGAAACAAAAAATATTTTTCTCAAAATAGGTCGACTGTTGACGAAGATATCATGAAACATTTAAAAAGAATCTGATTCAGAACATTCTCCATTTTCCAAGTTGATTAAAAAAGGTTATTAAAAAAGTATCTATGGATTTCGTCAAAATAAGCAGGTACTTATCTGAAATGGCTGCACAAAAATTTTATATCGTGTTCGTTACGATAATTCACATTCAGGTGTTTTTCTGTTTTTAAACTTGCAACAACATCGGAGATAAAAAAATCAAAACATGATATACCTACTGTACCCAGGGGTTAATGACTGATTTTAGTCAATATACCTACAATATGACAACTTCTATAAAAAATAAACATGGCAATGTTTATAATAATATTAAATTATCAATTTTAATCCATCAAATTCCAATTCTCACTTAACTATACTAAACTAAAACCATAGATAAAAATGTGCAATTCTATTTTTCTATTTTCCCTGTATAATTGTAACATACTTGAACATTTGCATATTTTTATTTCATTAATTGTTTAGCAGTTGTATGTAATTGCTGAGTTAATATATAATGCGAGCTAGATCGTTAAACAAATGCTTCTTTAAATAGTGATGTTGTCCAATTGCCATCGATACAATGCACTGTTGAAAACCTGTCATTTTAATTGTAATAATTACTTAATGTGCCTTTGAACTGGAATGATTTTTTTTATTGTTTTCTACATTAATTACTGTAGTCGACGACAGCTAAGTTTACAACATGTTAACAAAAACCGGGCCTTAATTCTGCTAAGATTTACCTATTAACGCATCTCAATAGAATATTAACTAGTAATACATATTAACCTGAAGTCTAATATTATTAATGTAATGTCTTCCTCAAAAATCAATGATGCCATATGTATTTATTATTTTGTGATCTAGTAACAAGTACTGTGTTATAAAGGGTATTAGTTGAAGCGCTATTGACTTTTCATAAATACGATATCATAATCACTATTGATATATAAATGAAACAACTTTTGAACGCTTTCACTGTGTTTGTATATAGGTTTTTATTGACATTTCGGACCCTTTACAGGTTCCGTGTTCTTCAGACGATAAGACTAAGTTATTATTATTTCTTTTTTAAATTAAGAGTACAGCTTACTTCAAAACAATACTATTGAACACAATAGAAAAAAAAAATGATTTCATTCATTCTATAAATATTAAATCAAAGGGAGCAAGCAATTCACTTCTCTCGTCGGAGTTTGTTTATCACCAGTTCTTCCCAGACATGACTCCCAAATTTGGTGGTAGTTTACCGTAGCCAGAGGTTAATAAATAAGTCAAATATATTTCTAAATTAATTTAATCTAATAAATATACTTTGAATTAAAAAATACCATCAACACTTCAATCTTATGTGAACACGGAACCTGCAAAGGGACGGAAACGTCAATAAAACTAAATACAAACACGATAAAAATGTTTAAAAGTTGTTTCATTTATGGATAGTGCGTATATTATATATTAGGAAAACTTGATTCCCGCAGGCTCTGTTGCCAAATCGAAATCTACTAGGGGCGAATGTTTGCAGTGAGTAATTGGGCATTCGTAATTGTATTTTTGGTATTGTTTGCCAATTTATTTGTGTTGCTACTTACGGACTCTTGGCAACGAATTCTTCTATATAGTAATGATTCCTAAACTAGTAGTAATTAAAAGTAGGAATAATGGACTAATGAACCCTCCTCGAAATAAGTTCACAATTACCAGTGGTTGCAGTGGGAATTCTATTATGGGACATGCACCAAAGTAAAAGATGATGTAGAAAATACCCAAATAGAATTAATGCTCTACAGAAAAAAACAGTTTCACTTGAGGCTTGACTGATTTTTGCCGTTTGATTGATTTCAGTAACGAGTTTCGAAATTTCGTGGTCTTTAGCGTAAAAGATTGACCACAGTAAGTACTATATTAGCAGGGATGTTATCAGTGTGAAATTTTAAGTGTTTTTATTATAAAATACAAATTATTTTTGTTTCCCAAAACAATGCAAAGGACACGCGCGGCTAGCGCATTCGTGAAGTTCATTACATTTTGCCTCTATCTGAAATTATCTGAAACTGGGTCACAGAGATTTTTATTTCAGATATCCAATAGTTTCGGTTATGGTTACGGAGTTTCTTTAACATCCCTAATACTAAGTGAGATTGGGATGATCGCAAAAGCGACAGCATCAGATTAGCGACTAGAAAAGGTGATAAATGAGAAAAAATTAAAAGATGGTTATAAATAAGATAATGATATAGAACAGAGTTTCTCAAAGTTTTGGTTCCACGAACCGAGGTAAAACCTTCGTAGTCAAGTAATCTAGCCAACATTACGTAAATCTTATCCCGAACCCCCTAACGTGGAATAGCAACCCACTTTGGAAAACATGATATAGAGTACAGAGTAGAAAATAATTATTACATCCATCAAGGCCGACTCGTTCTTATAGGCAAACTAGGCAATCGCCTAGGGCACTCGTATTTGGGGGGCGGCATGGCATGCCAAACATATTATGAACTCTATTATATATTTTCTATTAACCTTAAAAAATTCAGACCTGCAGAGCGATTCTGTAAGTATTGGAACCAGAATTTTTCACTCATGTGTCCAAATTCTACGTCATTTAGTATATAAATTATAATAATTTTATTTTGTATAAAACACAAAACAAGATTGATTAATTCATACGTATCCCAGATATATTCTATAGTTATGTTATTTCGAAACTCACTTCACTAGCGCCACAAAAATTGTTATTACCAATTGAAAGTTGAGCGGTTGTCGCTTTTGAAGTAAATCCGAACACCCGAGTGAATTCGGGTTCAGATTTTACACAATCGCAGGGCATCATTCAGTACCCTGCCTAAATAGTTTCTTTAGTCAATGATAAAATTCATCTCTTTAATCGGTCTTCGTCTTTAACCTACATTAATTTTTATATGTATTTGATTTTTTATGGGCATCGATTCCACTATATCGTCAAGGGTGTTTCAATAAGTTGGAGTTGCCATCCATTTTAATTAATGACATGTACAGAGTACAGACAATTTGCTTATGAAACTCAAGAGACGTGATCATATTTGTGAAGTCGTGTCAAAAAGTATCGAACGGTATGTTTAGTTTTGGAGTGAATGACATTTTCTTTGTGTCTGTATATTACAGTTATTCATATCACGTAACGCCATAAAAAATGATGGGCAATGAACTAACGATATTTAAATATGGAAATTACCTACATTTTGTAAGTAATTTCAAACAAAAAAAAATATTTCAGCATTATATAAATATTAGTACGAATTTGATGAACTCGTACGATACAGTTTTCATAGAACTAAACTCAAATCCACCTTATCTCGTCAGAAATGATATTAAAATACATAAGTCTTAAACAGTGTTATTATAAAAATAAGATTAAAATTATTATTACAATTTATGTAAGAGATAGTTCTGAAATGTTGGTTGAATAACTGTTTAAACCTGGTGTTAAAAGTTAATCCTCGGTTAAATAGTTTGAATATGTGAAACCCAGGAAATACGCAACGCAGGAAAAACGCAAATAAAAAGAGCGGTGTCGATGGTACGCAAAATAGACTTATCTCCGTAAAACAGAGATGCTATATGTGTATCTAGCTATTAAGCCACTTCGGGCAATAGATAATGTTAACCCCCGATATACATATTGATAATTTCAAATTTACCGCATCCTATATTTGCCGTTCTGTGGATCTTCGGCGTAACTCTTCATAGAGCCACTGGGCAACTGCCTAGCTTGCCACTAATAACACAAATTCTTAATGTAGGTGCAAATCTAACAGAATATTAGTCGAGCATCTCACAGAATTATGTGTTCGTACGCTACGGAGCATCCGTCGAGTGCACAATTTAATGTCACATGATATATGATAGTTCCGACGACTACCGACGATCTTCCGTCAGATGTGTACCAGGCCTAAGTTATTAAGAATCTTTTTAAATATTAAAGAAACGGATTCGGAACAACTCACACAGACATTAATGACATTAAATTAAATTTTTGTCACAAAATAAGTTTTTTTAAGTATTACAATTTCAAAGATGGAGTGTTGGTTAGAGTTGCCATGAATTTCAATAGACAGTAAACAAAAATATTTTTTTTGCTGGTTGTGTTTAAAATATAATTACCAATAATCATACTTTTGTGTTTATTATATTTATAATATTGCTTAAATTAATTATGAAAAACAAATATTTTATACTCGTTGTCAAGTGACCGCAAGTCGTATCAGAACTTGGAGAATTCAACTTGTGCATACATAGAACGATATTAGTTTCAGAGGGTCGTGACGTCATGACAGAAGTGGCGTATACGCGGGAAATTTATAAAATTAAATTTACTTTTAGATTTTAACTTATTATTTGAATGATACTTTTTAAATATATTTCATGTTTATATATAAACAATATTAAAAAAGATGTTGGTCTGTTTCCTGGTATATTTTTTCAAGTTTGGAGGGCAAGACGTCCTGGTGGAACTTTCAAAAATATTTAGATGAATTTAATCTTATTTAATCTATTTTTGCACCTCACCATCACCTTCATATTTCATCACCTAGTAAACAATGATGTTAAGTGTGAGTCTCCTCCGTGAATCATCTTGCCGTCAGTTTTCCCTCACAACGCACTACACAATTTTTGCTAATAAACCGAATATAATAAATATTCAAGGAGGGCATACAACAAACTAGCTAATAATAGTGGATAAGCGCCGCGACCCAAGATGGCTGATCAAAATATTATTGTCCAAGCTAGTCAGTACTTCAGAAGGCACGTTAAGCCATTGGTTCAGACTGCATTTCGATGTCATCGTTAATACGCTCCAATCCGCATTGGATCAGCGTGGAGGGTCCTGGTCCATCCACCAGGCAGGAGCCTCTGCAGTGTGCAGATTCGTTTGTTCGTTCAAATTGAATGTTTTCCCTTGTCTTTTACCTGAGCTGTATGAGGTCGCCGAGCTCCGCCGGTAACGATCTTAGCTTATTATTAGACACATCCAAGGTGTGCAAGTTGACAAGATGATTGATATCCGGTGGAATCCGCTGCAAGGAGTTGTCGTTCAGATACAACGCTGTAAGGTGCGTCAGTTGGAACAGTTGAGGCGCTAAGGCGCGCACACCTCCTGTTACCTGAAATAAAGACGCATAAACAAATATACCTTTTTTTAACGCATGGCAAATATAGTACTGAAAAGACCGGCTTAGGCGAGGCCGGCCTTCCTGCTAGAATGCCGCACATAAATAAATATATATGCCTACTTTGTACTACTCTGTACACTTTGATATATTTCACATTTTACTGTTTGAAACAATACTTATAAGTGTTTATTTTAATTTAAAAACATTAAAAAATAATATGTTTTATTGCTTTGAAATTAAATCAAAATCTAACCTTTTTTATACCCGCGAAAATACTGTTCGCCATAGCATGACGTCATTGTGACATGTACACAAAACAGATGCATAGAGTAGATTATTAAAAGATGTCAATAAATGAAGAAAAATGCCATCTAACGATCGATTATGAAATAAAAATATATAAATGAGCTAAGAACAGCACTATCTAGGAATTTCATTTATAACTAATATTTTTAAGGCCAATCTGACAATAGTTACCACAGTAACGTTACACAATGGCGGGTCGTCTTTCAAGTCATGTGACACACAGATGAAAAATCACGACTTTTAATTTTAAAACAATAAGATAATAGGGAATATGCACATTTTCGGAAAATGGTTTTATATGATAATTTACAGCGATATATAACTGTAAAAAAATACTCGGCATCGAAAAACTAAAATTTTGTATGATTTAATAATCGACGAAAATAAATAATAGCTACGAGCAGTTTAAACACCGGAATTTTTGGCGCTCTTGTCGTGACGTCAAAGTACACGACTAGAGATATGACATTTTAAATCAATATGGATTTTGAGTGATAGATTATTATTCAATTACCTAAATCGATTAACAAATAATGGATTTTTTTAAAGTATAATAGACTTTTTAAATAAATCATATAATTTACTTAATTGGTGAAATAAAAATAAAAGCCTCAAACATCATTTAAATTGTATTCAGTTGTTTATTTTGCGACATAAAACATTGATGTTATTGCATCGATGTTAACTTTTTGTAACAACGACATCCCTATATGTGTACATTTTCGTCACATCCGCTCTGACAAGTAGCATGGCGTTTAAATATTTTGAAGTTACCGCATTTATTTTGCACTTTTTAATAATTATTTTCAAGACGAAAACAAACTAATATTGAAAAATATTTAGATAGACTTTATTCTAAAGCAATAACGATTGTGATAAAATATATTTAATCTTTTTTTTAATCAGACGCATATTCCCTATTGTGTGTTTTTCAGACTCAAAATCAGAATCTTTATTAGGATGTAAGTTTTAGTTTTTGTGCAATTTCATTTTGACCATAAACAATCAAAATTTATAGCCATAAACTGTACATTAATTTTAGTATTCGTTTCACTAACAGTCAGCAGAGGTTCCGGAAGTGCAGATAGGTCAGACAGGCAATCTTTTAACCATGGTTTGAAATTCAGCCTACACAGACACATTGGTGAATAGTTGTATGTTAGTGTAACGGGTTTGATTATTTAAAAGTGATTTTTCGATAAATCTTAAACTGTCTTACCTCAAGCGTGGTCCAACCACCGCGACGGCCGGATGCTCGTTCCGCTTCCGACATGATGTGGTATGTGCGCCCGCTTGCGCCCTCGTGCTTATCTTTGTTGCGAGACATTCTGTCACCTGAAATATTATTAACATCATTCAATAGTCATAAAAGTAGTTTATGCATTATTAATGTATTATTTGTGAAGACTTTGTTTACTAAGGGCAATAATTAATAAATGATTCAATCTAATGTTAATTTTGTATGTTGTCATTTACAATTGAATGCATTAAGAAAGTCATAAATAGTTTATAAGTAAGTATTAAGTATCTTACAGGTTTCAAATTGTAATTAGGAAGGTGGAACTTGAAATATTATTTATCAGATTTAAATTGCACAGTGACTCAGAATATACAACAATCAGATGTCTTCAATATATTTTAAATGTTAGTGCACTTTATTAATTATGTTTATAATCTCTTTTTATTGAAATCAAATGAAACATCTCCATATGTTTTAATTAATTAATAAACATTGATATAATAATATGCTGGTTTTACTCATACATATAAATAACAACAGATGTGAGACTGTCACCGTATTTAATTTTAAGTATTTAAAATTAAGCATGTATCAAACTGTACTTAAAACATCACTTTAACAAGTCTTTATTTCTGATTATAATTTTTTAATGATCAAATAAAAGTCTGATAAAAACTAGTACTTTTACCTTGTGAAAAGTAAAAAACTTAAGTTATTGAGAATGAGCAGTTGAGATTTTGTAATATTCTCAATTCAGATACCAGCTATATATCACATAGAGATAGATCACACACAATGGACTGATTAAAGCAGAATGGAAAATTTAAGCCCTAACATTACCTTATGACTATAAAAAAAGTTGTTAGGATTGATGTCATTATAAAATTAAACATTATACACTCATTATTTTTAATTGCTACTATAAAATATGGATAAATTAAATGACATTCTTTTAAATAAATTCCAACATTAAATGGTTATCACCATACTTTGCTGTACACTACACAAATTATAATGGGGAAGGTGTTGAATCAAAGAATAAAATTTTGATAATAATATTAATAAAATAGGTTAGCTAGATGTAAATTATATCTGATATATTTTTTTTTAAATCTTCATTTCATTTTATTAAACCAAAACTTACATACATTATTCCCATTATATTTTACATAATAATACTTTCTTTACTTATATTAATCAATGAAGATTTATAGTACATATATTTGGAAGATTTAAGTCGGATTAAATCTTTACGAGACAGATAATGATTTATAAATATTACAATTTTATGAAGGCTTAATTAATGTATACTACTTAATTTCCACATAATGAAATGAACATATTTATCTATGGCTATTTCATGTGGTTGATACTAGTGCTAAACAATATTAAGTTAAGCTTATTTTTAAATAAATATTTACTCTACAATAATATTAAAAAACTTACTGGTAGTATAATTTATACTCTATCTCTTACTTATCTAAATAAACACTGATAATAGGTATCAACTTGTTATTAGACGAAAATTAAACTGTTTACAAAAAACCGAAATGAAATCAGTAAATATACCTTTTTAATACCGGGAGAGATCATTAGGGGAGTTAAAATAGTTTTGTTCAATAGTTCATTATCTTCTTTCAAAAAATAAGAGCAGGAGAGTCCCATAACCTCCGCCGTTATGGAAGTAAACCTAGAGAATAGTCGCAATTAACAGTAATTCTATACTCGTAATGATCATACAATATCTAGTTTAATGAAAAATCAGTAATTTAATTCATTATTTTTGCGATTAGAAGGTTAATGCGTAGCATCTTTGTGTACAGCTGACATCAAAAAGATAGAACAAATCGACGCAAAGGACCAAAGCGCCAAATCATAAAATATCACTCACTACAACACTACGATAAAAATAAATGCACTTTAAAGTAAAGAATACCTTCATCTACTCCTTAAAAGCTTTTACTTCAATTAGGATTATAGTAACGGGATCTAAATCACTCTGTAAACACACAATAGCACAATCTTGACAAACACCACATCAAACGTCCATTTACCGACTGCAGCGACAATCGACATTAGCGGCGGATTCTTGAACTTTTCTTTTGTGTTGTGGCGGCCATAGACAATTAATAGTCTATACTCTACACTAGAGTTGTTCAAAACGATTAAAATATATTAACACACTGAAACTAAATGCTATGAAAAAATAGCGTATTAAATATGACATAAATTTATAAACGCGCTAAGTGCGTAATAAAAAGGTGCTCGACAAACGCATTAAATCAAAATCTCGTAGAACGTTATTTATAACATGTCGATCTTTGAACTGAGCGCACGCTCTAGTAAATAATAATTTATTAATATTTTATTCTAATACATGTGAAATAAAAGTAAATGAACTATGTATATCTGTTATCTACACGTAATAAAATTATATATTTATTTACATTATTATCTTTATTATAAACACTTACGTTTAATTAAATGTCAAAAATATATATTATTTTTAACTTTTTTTCTCAGTTATTTTTATTTTCTTACATAATCGCAATTTAATATAAACTATTTAAAATATCAACCAACTAAACTATGTTAATAATACATGATCATATTTAATATGCTAATAGAATAAATCGCTAACACGTCTATTAACATTCGCACCTTCACGTTGTTCCAAGATCGACTTCGCGCGCGATGTTATTAAACGTACTGCGAGAATAAATCATTCCCCATCTATTAACATTCGCGCCCATGCGAATATTGCCTCGGCTCGTGCACTAATGATCTTAAACGCTTTAAAGTGTATATACATAACAACGTTAAGTTTTTGGTGTTAAATTAACATGCTAAGCGCTAATCTAACCACCGCTACTCTATACCATTGAGTTGCATACTTGGAGTAGAACATATGTTCTATATATTACGTAAGTAATACAAATATTGATAAATGTATGCATTACTAACCATTAATAGCTTATGTAAAAAAAAGATAAATTATATTTATTTAGTCCATATCTTGGCTACATTTTGGTGTAACATCACGACCTATTCACTCCGTGGTGGACGGCTATGTACACGGCCAGCTCTAAGCTAGAGTTCTGAGGTAGATTGTTTTTTGGGTCTCAGGGTTTCGACTCCTAAACTAGTCTAAACTGAACTTAAGGAAAAGTAAGTATAGTAAGTAGTAAACAATGAAATAACTAAAGAAAAATAAAAGAGACTAAAAAAAAATGCCAGGCACTATCACGGACATTTGCGCTCTTCCACTTCACATCGATATTTTACGTTTACTACGCCCCGCCCACTCAAGTACTACTACTACATGAGTGCCGTATACAAGGATACGTACTTGAATGAACACTTTTTTGCTTGTTTGTTTTTAGTTGCAATCTGCATTTCGCCCATTGGCAACACATCTCATTGTGATATTTATTAATTTTTCTACTGTTTATACTACGTAGACACTAATATTCTGTGGAGGTTGTATTGTAAAGGTTGTTTATTTGTTCCTCTGAAAATTTTATTCCAAAAATTGATCGCACCGTGGTTGTTCCTGTTCAATTTGTGCAAGTGTTACAATTTTTAACTTTTTGAATCAATCGATACTCTCTGTAGTCTATATACAAAAACAATGATCTCTACCAAGCAGCACGGTTTCGTAAGCTAACGATCAACAATCAACAGTTTATAACTATATAAAAAATATTTATGTTCTGCATTTGCAAAATGCCAGCAGGTTGACTCGGTCTATACGGATTTTTGCAAGGCGTTTGATAAGGTTAATGACACAATCCTATCTAAAAAAATATTTAAATATCTGTCTCATAGAAGTCAGTCGGTTGCTGTAAAGGGCTTTCTATCATCTTCTATTATTGCAACTTCGGGAGTTCCACAGGGTTTCACTGGGTTCGTTGCTTTTCATCATTTTCATTAATGAGTTGATAGATAGAATGTCCTGCTCTACGCGGATGATTTGCAAATCTTCACAACTGTGGATGGCCCCGATGACTCTAACCGTCTATAAAAAGATCTAAATACTCTATCTGAATCGTGTTTGTGCAATAAAATGTCTCTAAATGTCAAAAAATGTGTACTCATTTCCTCACAGGTGCAGCACGCTCCTTACTGTATATATAATCAATGACTGCACTCTAGAGCGAAAAAATAATATTAGAGATCTCGGTGTTATATTCGATGAACAATTGTCATTTCGTGATCACTATGCTTATATGATATAAAATGCGGAACGTTGACTTAGTTGTTTTAAAAAATCTAAGAGTGTCTTACTTTTGTACTATAGCTTCGTTAGGAGTTTTTAGAGTATGGATGTTATCTGGGCGCCCTTCTACTCGATTCATTCTGATCGCATTAATAAATGCTTAAAATGTTATGTTACCGTACAGGATATGGTCGGATTTTGTCATAGTATAGTAAATAGATTTAGTATACAAAGGCTTCACATTAGACGGAAGTATATGGATTTAGTATACCTACATAATGTTATCCATTCGTGTGTTGATTCTCCGGAATTACTATCTCTAATCACCATCAATACGCGTTTCAGAATTTGACATCCGAACATCTTCTTTCTGCATGTTTACAGAAATAACACCTCCTATTATAGCCTAATTAATTATCCGTATGTGAGGAAAACAGGAAAGCTTGGATATTATGAATGACTGTACTGGTCTCTTTAAGCGACGTATTACCGATGTGCTTTTTGAATCATACTGAATTTGTTATTTTTTTTAATTTGGATGCTGTAACTGATACTATTTAATTTACGGATTTATTTGTTAATATAATTTTGTTCTTAATTTTATACATGCAAAATATAATATACTATTATGCAACCTTTATAATTGTCATGATAAGCCCACAAAGATTTAGTTTACAATCTAGTTTATAAAAAACTTAAATAACTGTAAATTAAACTCAATTCGGATTTGTACTGTATTGTGTCCTAACTTAATAAAATAAATAAAATCTTGCTTCCACGAAACATTGCACTACACTGGAATGCTATATCGTGTGTTGTGTTATTATATTGCTATATAGGTAAATTAAAAGTAATGGCCCGCAATTTAACAAGAGAAGAAAGAATTCGAATATTAGTTTTAAAAGGACAAGGAAGAAATATTTTGTAGATTTTATTTATTTATTACGGGACACAAACAGTGCATTGCATAATCTATGACTATTCTCATTTAAAAAGAATTAGTTCAGTACATACACAAATGGACTATAGATAGGAATTTCCGTTCCTTTTGACTAACTTGTGGCAAAAAAGTACTTATCCTATGGCAATCAAAATTTTTAATAAGCTGCCAATAAAATCTAAAAACGACAGGCTTAGTATATTCAAGTCTGAGTTAAAAGAATGGCTTACGGCGAAATGTTTTTATAGCTTAAAGGAATATTTTGAATATAAATGTTGACATATTATCTCAAAATTATGAATTATTAAACTACTATTATTGCGTTATATTGATGAAATTTAATTGACATTTGTTTAATTTTATGATTATTATTGTAATTCCCTAATTGTTATAATTTCTTCTGCATGCCAGTTTCTGGTAAATATGTCTGTTAACTAGAAAATAAATTGTAACATCTTGTACTTTCCATATTTATGCAGAAATAAATATATTATTATTATTATTATTATAACATATTAAACAACTGAAATTTGTAAAGTTCGAAACTTAGATGTCAATGCATATACGAAAAAATACAAATAGAATATGAGTTCCTTATTGAGTTTTGAAATTATATTTACTTTTATACAAAAAAGAAAACCGGAAGGGTTGTCATGGAGATATGTCTATGATATTCATTATAATTTAGTTTCTAACGTAATTAAAGTAAATTGAGTATCGAAAATTAGTAAGTATGACATCGTTTCGTGTTTCTTATAATATCTAACTTTCAAATTGATTTTAATTTATTTGAATCGTAAGCTTAAGTTATTTATTATGTTACGTGTAATGGAACGATATTTGGTTTTTATGTCAACATTAGTGATGGATGAGCCAACTTATTGGTTGCTCGTAACTTCAATTGACTCAATTGATCCGAATTCAGATTTGGAACCAAGAACAAAAAGCGGAGCGCAAAACTAAGGCGGGAGATCTTGTTCTGAGAAGAAGCGGCAAGAAACTCAGTAAGGGCTGCTTTTTTCTCCGTTTTATTTCACACAGAGAAGTCTTATCGGAATGTGACATAATTAGACTATAAGTCATTTTCCTTTACAACATCAGAAATCCTACATACTCATTGATAAATCAATATACAATATTCATAATCTAAGAAAATTGACAAAATAAGGTAGTCCAGTGCAGTGCAGTGGGGGTGAACCACTGGCAGCACCCGTTGACGAGCTGGACACATAAGTCAGCCATCGTTTCGCTTATCTATATTTGAGGGAACGCACACGACACCACTGCATGACTACTCTAGGTACTTAATAAGTAATATATTTCAATAAACCTGATTTCTAAAGTAGGTTGAGTAGGAAGTCAATCTATTATTGACAATATTATAATTAAAACGCACATACCCACCGTACAAATTAAGATAACATCTGGCTCGACGTCCGCCGTCGACATGCAAGATTAGCGGTAATATAGTAACCTAAGTTTTTTTTTTAATTTCACAAGTCAAATAGTCCTAGTTTTATCAAACTGCTATCAACTGATCATCAAAAAACTAAAATCAGAAACGAAAACTAAGTGATGTTAGTTTGAGACGTTTAACTTTAAATTCACAATTAAGAAACCGAGTGTAAAATTTCCTAAATTATTGTAGAGAGATCAGTCTAACATTAACCTACGTTATTTTAAAAGAGCAGTTCTCCAAAAAAATTGATTGAATGGGGTAATACTCCTTTAACAACGGGATCGTTAATTAAACTCGATAAACTCACAAATCTTCCAGCGATTCATCATTAACACAAATGAACTTTGTTTTAAAAACATTGAGTAATTAGTTATTAAAATAGCATTTAAAAAGAACATAAAAAAATGCGTGATATCAAAAGACGAATAAAA